ATCTGAAACCATCTTTTTCAGACTCGAAAATGCGGCTGTTTTTCTTGCTGTTTTTCAGTCCGCCTCACTTGCTGGGTGGGAGGGACTTTTCCCCTCCTCCCAGCCTTTCCATCTATATCAAGCACTGCCGATTGGTTATATCTGGGGGGAGGAGGACTGGCAGGGCCCACCTCCCCCAAGCCTCCCATTAACCCCAGGGAGCTTAGGGGCAGGAGTTGGTACAGGGCCTGGGCGTGTCCACACGCCGGTGGGCCATGACCATGAACCTCTGGGGCCTCCTCCAAGATCCCCCACAGTTTAGCCTGGGACCACAAGGTACCCAGTTTCCATGGGAGGCCTGGGAGGCCATATATATATATATATATATATATATATATATATATATATATATATATATATATATATATATATATATATATATATATATATATATATAATATATATATATATATATATATATATATTATATATATATATATATATATATATATATATATATATATATATATATATATATATATATATATATATATATATATATATATATATATATGTATGTATTGTGTGTGTGTGTGTGTGTGAGTGTATGTTTCCGTGTTTGTGTTTGTGTCCACACACACACACGCATATATATATGTGTGTGTGTGTGTGTGTATATATGTGTGTATATATATATATATATTACGCACACACACATATATATGTATGTATATATAATATATTATGTAATATGTGTGTATATATATATATATATATATATATATATATATATATATATTCATTTCTTTTCCTTCTTTTGTATTCTGTAGTTCACTTTGAGACTTAATATCTTAGCAGTGTGGCTGTCGTAAATTTTATTCTTCATTGGGTCAAGAAGCATTAGGACATTATTCTCTAAAATGAGTGAACTGAACAGACATTCTTAAACCTTCGACCCGGACTCTCAGGATACACCAAAGGGTCTCAACAGTTTTACATATACATTAATGGAGAGGAAAGCAATGGTATTACATATAGTTAACGTATCACAAATCATACAAAATGCAATTTAAGTAATACAGCCACTACATCCGTTCACAATAGCAAATATACATCTCTTTCTGTATATGTCGTGAAGTCTGAATTCTGGAGGAATAGATACAAATTTATATATAACAATTATGCAGCGCTTATGTGTATGTGTTATTACTGTTAGCTGTATCTCTCTCTCTCTCTTGGAGTAGCATAGAAAATGCCTATTATCTGTCAACATGCGTTGTCTGTCCTTTTGGCCGTTATCGGACGCGTATTCAGTGCTATAATAAAGATAATGCTAGGCTTGAACGGGGAGCCATAGTCGGCAATTTTGTCAGTGAAATTGGAAATGATGGGCCTTGATATGTATTCGCCATCTTAAGCACGGTTAATAAACACACACGACTCCAGATACCTTTAAACTATGAAAAGAATTCATGGTGTAAGACATGAGGTCAACGGAAGGTTACCATTATAAAATCTATATAACATTAAGACCATCCATTCGTCAGATATTCATCTTTTTCGATAGCAAATGACACAAATCTCTGGTAGGTTTTCTGGTAAGACCGATATTCTACTTTACTAAATCCCATATAAAGTCTCTATCATGGTCACATGGCTATTGTCAACTTTCAAAAAAATGATAGATAACCTGTTGAAAACGTATATATATCTGTATGTGTGTGTGTGTGTGCATATATATATATATATATATATATATATATATATATATATATATATATATATATATATATATATGTATGTATGTATGTATGTATACACAAACAACAAATGTGTTGACGGGTAGATAAAGATTTTGATACATAGATATATGCCTTTAATCTGAAAACCATCTTTTTCAGACTCGAAAATGCGGCTGTTTTTCTTGCTGCTGCTTGTAGCTCTTGCAGTGGGAGCTTATCAAAAGGTGAGAAGGGGGGGGGGAGTTGGAAAGGAAAAGAAAATGTCAAAGACACAAAAAGAGTTGAAAAAAAAAAAAACATAACGAAAAAGCAACCTATTCCGTTTGCACAGGCTAACCAAATTGGGAGACACGACCAAGACATTACAGACTTGACAGCAGAGGACACAGCTCTTGACAGGCGCGAGAGGGAGGTCAAACCCGATAAACGAAACACGGCGAAAGAGCAGACCAACAAGGCAGACAATAAAGCGAAGTTAAGTGTGAAGGGAACTAAATTTATGAAGGACGGAAATGGTGACAACCGACCACAAAGTGCTTCCAAAAACATTACAAGAAACACGGGGAATATTGGTGAGTCAGTTTCTTAATTTCTTCGTCTGTGTCATTTGAATCACGTAACAATTGCGTAATAGATGCAGTGATTCAGCTTTAGCTATACTTCAAAATTAATGGCATCACTGGCCTCGTTATTTTTATATTTTCATTATGTCTTTATAATTACAACATGAAATGCATATTTTTGTTTCATGATTATCATCATAATCATTATCATTACTATTATAATCATTTATGCTGATATCATTATTAAAATGATATCATTATTATTATCTTCATTATTAGCAATACCTTTATTATTTCCATTGTCAACACCACCATTATCACACCAATCTCGTTCTTTACAATTCTATGAGGGAAAATGGATGCATAAATAAAACAGAATGTCTTAACTTTTTGAGGATGGGGAGGGGACCAGTTTGATCATTTCTGTCATTGTTATTGTCCTCAGAAATTCAAGAAATATGTGAGGGGAAAATTGTTCTGGGATACGGGGAATCTGTTGTTGTCTACACCGACAATGACCGCCAGAAGAAGAAATGCAAAAACAAGATTAAAGTAAGGGATTTTTCTATTCTTTTTTCTTTTGTTCATCATCAGTATTATAATTCATTTCTTTATGAATGCTATTGTTATCACTATTACCATCATTATTTTAATAGCATTATCATAATCTTTATTTTGATGTCATTATCATTACTAATATTATTATCGTCGTTATTGTTAGTAGTAGTATTATCATTGTCATCATCATCATCATTATCATCATTATCACTGCTTTTGTCGTTTCCCTATTATTATTATTATTATTATCTTTATCATCATCATCATCATCATCATCATTATAACTCATTGTTATCATTGCTGTTATTATCAATATCATTACTATTGTGATCATAATGATTATAATCATTATTATTATCATTGTTATTATTGTTATTATAATTATTATTATCATTATCACTATTATTATCAATGTCATTATCATCCTTAACATTATTACCATTATTATCATTATGAGTATTACTATTATTAGTATTGTTATGTGCACACAAACACAGACGCACGCACGTACGCACATACACATATAGATAGACTGATATATATATATATATATATATATATATATATATATATATATATATATATATATATATATATATATATATATATGCATACATATGTGTGTGTGTGTGCGTGTGTGTGTGCGTGTTTAGCTGTACACACATACATACGTACATACATAATTTATATACATGTATGCATGATATATAGTTGCTCAATTACGGCAATGATCAGGGAAAGGAAAAGTCGCAAAATCGCATTTAAAGATTTAAGGTCTTTCCTAAAAACAGCCTTTGACCTGGTCTAAACATAACCACAATTAATATTTACATTTTAGAAGCTCTCCGTAATAATTCAATAATGTATTGTATGCATAAATATACATATACATACATACATACATACATATATATATAATATATATATATATATATATATATATATATATATATATATATATGTATATATATATATATTTTTTTCTTTTTCTTTTTTTTATATATATATATATATATATATATATATATATATATATATATATATATATATACATTACTAATTAAATGAATCTGAAGTATATGATGAGTATAATAAATATCTTTTTTTTTTTTTTTTTTTTTTACTTTATGTGGCAATTTCTACTTTCGTTATGATCACGAGAAAACTGCAGTGAACAAGGAGAGAAATCGTCTCAATGAATGTCTGACAAATGTAGAAATGTCGCAGGTAAGTTTTCCATATCATTTCTGATGCTGAGTCATCTTCAAAATCGCAGTATTTTTGTCGGCGTTTCGTAAGGAAAATTTAAAGACAGTCATTACGTCCGTAGACCACCTCCGGACCTGCCTTAAACCTCGGCCGAGTCATAGGCATAAGTTGGGTAGTAAGGACATATTTCCAAGAAGTCACAGACAAGATCTTGGATTCAAAGACTATTTTTCTGTTGAAGACAAATTTCGGTCTATTTCCTTTCTTTCGTGAATATCGCCACTGGTCCTGAAGATGCCACAGGTTCAGCTGATGCATACCCGGACTCGTATCATAATGTTCCTTGTTTTTCCCTCATGCAGACTCCTAAAGGCACCGAGATCGGTTTCTTCTGTCCATTCTTTAATCTGAACAGCAAAGGGTGTAAGAGGGAACTCCTGAAGTTCCGCGGCAAAGTCAACGGCAAGAAGCAAAAGTAAGTCTGATATCATTTGGTGTTGGCAAGATTGCGAGATTCTTCGCGTGTGTGAGAGCAATATGCCCTTGGAAGGGGATAAAGTGTGAATCTGTCTGGTCATGGTAATGTGCTTCCTTTGTATTCATATGTGTGTGTATTTGTCTCTCCGTGGGCGTGAAAGTGAAAATGGAGGTGTGGGTGAGGGGAGTAGCCCTTAGTGTTTCGACCGAAGACACAATCGTACCCGAGAATGGCACCGTTCATGGCTGACGGCGAACGAGTTCCGGGTCAGAATGGGATCGCTGAGTGACTCCTCAAGGGTCTGCTTCTGTGAGCGAGCGTCGTGAAGGGTGCTGGAGTGAGGCGTCGCTTGGGTTAGTCTGATATGCGTGACGGAGAGCGCGATGTGAGTAGAGTCTAGTGTTATGGTATTTGTGTTGGTCTATAGGAACTGTTGTTCTCTGCCATACATGGGTATGTATACTATGGGAGCAGTGTCCACGATTTGTGCGTATGTGAGTCTCTCTCTCTCTCTCTCTCTCTCTCTCTCTCTCTCTCTCTCTCTCTATATATATATATATATATATATATATATATATATATATATATATATATGTGTGTGTGTGTGTGTGTGTGTGTGTGTGTGTGTGTGTGTGTGTGTGTGTGTGTATGTGTGT